CCCCAAAACCCCAAAACCCCAAAACCCCAAAACCCCGTCTGTTTATGTTAATTTTAAATTAATACATTACGAATGGAAACTCAAGGTAATTATAACCCCTAGTTTTATTCTTTAGAGAACAGCATTGAAAATAGGATATCCCTTGATACCCATGAAACTAATATCTTACACCTTGATTCTGCACATAGTGGTAAGTATCCCTGGATATATTTCAAATTTCATATTCATTCTGATGATAGTTTTGATTCACTTTGAAACCGTTCATAATAATGGAAATACTAGGAAATTCAACTGAAAGAATTCCTCATATTGCTTCAGTCCATATCAAAAAGCTTGAGAATAAGATAAAATAAATATAAAAGTGGAGAGCCGAAAACAAAAAATACAAAGCCCCAAGATCATCCGAGTAAAGAGAAAGAAGAAGCTATGAACACAGAGTTTCAATCAAAATAACTTAATTATTGAATTATTCTCTGATTCGTATGAAGAGCAAAACTCAGATGGGACTCACTCAAAATTTAATGTAAGCCTCACTTCATAGCTTTAGGAAGGAACTCAGATGAACAATACCCAGTATATAAATGAAAATGCAAGGATGTTTTGGAAGACATCAGCACCTGTGATTTTTCAGGATAAAATAAAGAGTAGCTCGCAGCTAAGGAATTCATCAACTAATTCAAGACCATCAACCAAGCCGAAGTATTTTAATGCCAGAAAATAATTCAAGTAAGAATCTTATAATCAGAGTTAGAGCAAACTGCGTATAATTCATTGGAAAGGAAGAGGACAGATCCTCCTCTTAATATTGCTTACATTTACCTGAATCCTACATTCGAGGTAAAGACAAATCAGACCAAGAAGCGATTCATTATGAGTGGAGTTAAGACACTTAAAAAGATGAATCTTCATTGAAGCAGACAAAGTGATTATTCTGATTTAAAGCCAATTCCATTTAGAGGTATGAACCTTTAAGAACCAACTTATTTATTTATCGATATGCCAATAATTTATAGAAAAATCTATTAAAAGAAGGCTAATCCTCCGATACCAGAATAGCCATATTCATGAGAAAAATGCTTCCAGGATCAGAATGTAGAGCAATTGCTAATCTCTAGGAATAAAAACCTCAATTATGTCAACAGACAAAAGCAAATTCGGAAATTAATAAAAGATGTGAGAATAGCCAGAGAGAATTCATTGACTGATAGCAGAAAGATCATCGATAAAGAAGAAATCTTGGTTGAGCATAAATAAAATATCTCGTAAGAGTTAATAATCATTTTTAGAAAGCAAAAGTATTTCTCCAGATAGAAAATCACTCAAAAGTTCTCCTGAAAATGGGATCAAGAAAAAGAAAAGAGTCACTATCAAAAATTTACCAATAAGCTATGCTACTGCAGAGAGAAGCATGAGCAAACTTGAGCCTAAAGTGGACCAGAAGAATGCTGATATTGAAGAGGAGGATTCAGGAATTATAGAAGATACTAAAGTAAGCTTTAATTCATCCTTTAGATTGTAATTGAAAAAAAATAAAAAGGTCAAAAGAAAAGCTTTAAATATCACAATGGATGTTCTAAAATGAAAACTTTATAACATAAAACTTGCTAAGAAAGCAGCAAAAAGTAACGAAAGAAAGAGCATTCCAAAACTTGAGAAAAAGACGCCTCCAAATTTTGAGAAGACAGTCAGAATGAATCTACTCAGAGATAAGCCAAGAATGTAAGGCTTGTTTCAAACTCATTATTTAGAACTAAAACTGCAGAGTCTAAAATTTTAAGGGAGAAGACTCCTCATTCTATCAGCATCAAAGCTTTTGAGTCTCTGAATAAGACTCATTCAAACAGGAAATCTCTGGGATTGGAGAAGACGGAACCTTGGAAATAAGAGTGTGGTTATAGATAACTCCAAAGTTGTAGTCTCTCGGAATCATAAGAATATTTACAGGTCGAAAGCATCTTCTGAGAATACGAAGAATTTTGCATACCTAGGCTCTACTTTTATGGACACTACGAATGGTTTCAGGAAGAAGACATTGAGAGAGATTAAGGAATTGAGTGAGAAGAGGATTTGGATGTATGGAATTGTAGGAGAGAAAAAGACAGCACTTTCAAGAGAAGGAAGACTTAAGAAGGGATAAGAGAAAGGGACTTTAGAAGATTGTATAAGAACGGTTATATTACTGCAAACCTTAATTTCAACCCTACCCATACCTACAGGGGTTTTGGGGTTTTGGGGTTTTGGGGTTTTGGGG